AAAATTTATGGAAATAGGAAATTTTGAAGATTTGATGTTGTTTTAAAATTAGAATTTGAAGTTAGAAATTGGTAGACGTACACCAAAAAGTTGCCCACCAACCCGGGGTGCCCTTTTGGGGGCAATCAACTGTCTGGTGGTGTTCCAAACTCCTTTTTATCTTTTTAATCCCTCTTTAAACTTCCTAAAATTTCACTTATACTCATGTGTACCCCCGCCTTAAGAACTCGTATTCAAGGAATTTAAGAATCGCAAACGCAGTGGTTACGTTGATCGCGAGCAGGCCAGATCGATTGACCGAAAGTTATTTTCCTTCAAACTAAAGCTAATCATTTTTAGACGATGATGACAGCTGTGAATGAGGTCAACAACGATAAAACAAAGGTACCGGATGAATTTATTTTTCGTAGTGTTTCGCTTGTTTGTTTTACTGCCGAACTTGAAGTGTAAATTGATTCACAATCGATGTGAGCTTACATGTAAGCTTATTTATATTAAAACTACGGCTGCATGTGTGTATGCAAACGAACAGTCTGTTTTAGACGTTATTCTGTGTTTCACCTCTGAAAATTATACTAAAACAATTACTCGCCTTAGGCTCGGTGAACATTGGTGAATATTCCCCTCGAATTCATCTCGGTGAATATTCAGCAATGTTCACCTCGCCTTCGGCGAAAAATTGTTAAACAGAGAGGTGTATACGCCTGAAACTTCTTGTATAAAGGGTGCCTCTGTTCATATTACGAATATGTGAATAAAACAACACTGTAATCATAAGGTCTGAGAGTTTGCTAAAGCTTTTTCGGGTGCGAAAACTTTTCGGGACCGTCAAGAAACGGGCCCCAGGACCGCTTACCGTAAATTGAAACTGGGCCTTCGGCTTCGTCTTTAGGACATCAAGATGTGCCTGGCACTTTACTCTCAGTCCCAGGGTCTTCGCCGATCCGCTCCGAACAGCATGGGTCACATCAGTTTGGTAGTTGTACGTGTATCGCTTGCCTTTCTCGTAGCCTGGGGATGAGGAATGACGTCATGATTAAGTAGTTTCTCATTCTCGTCCCCACAGCCCTTTTCGCGTCTCTTAGCCGGCAGGGCCTGGGCAAGTTCATGAAAATAATTTTCAAAATGGCCACACTTCTCTTTCAAAAATATATTAACAAAAGTTGATAAAAGAAAAAAAAAATATCATAAGCAAATGATATTTCTAAAACAATGCTACTGTAGTTTGACCTCAATGAATCTCTCCCACGGAGGAGGAAAGAGGGATAAAATTACGTCTGAAAAAATGCAGGTTCTAGTAAACATCGATTGAAGATATGAATTACTTTAAACTTCATAATCAATGGAATGGAAAGCTTAATTGTCATCTAATGTGGTTTCAATATTAAAACCCTAATGTGTGACAATTTAATTGAAAGCTATTGAGCAGTACTTTCATGTGGTACTGTTTATTATGCTGTACAAGGTGGTTCTAACTTTTAGGTCTGTGGATGAAACCCTAGTGTGTGACCATTCAAATGAAAGCTATTGAACAGTACTTTCATGTGGTACTGTTTGTTATGTCATACTAGGTGGTTCTAACTTTGAAGTCCGTGGATGAAACCTTAGTGGGCGACCATTCATATAAAAGTGCTTTTAAGGTAGTTAACAATAGTTTCCAGCTCTTTCCAGCATTTAAAGTTAGATGCATCAGTTGTAACACAATCATTGCCAAATCCAGGTTATGTTGTTAACAACAAACACAGTGAAATTGCACTTACCAAGACGCATAGAGGCAGCTGAAGGAAAAGAGAAAAGCAGCAAGTTAACTTCAATGTAAATCAATTAACAGAAATGTAAAATTCAATAAATACTAACTAAATGACAAAATTAGACATATCTTCAAGCAGTTCTATGCTGGATCAAAATTTCAGTTATTAGAATCCAAGCCCGAATATACATTGAAAATAATGAGCCTGGCATCATGCTTTTCAGGTCTCTCCATATTGTAATAAATTTCCAATCGTGCCATCGTTTTGAGTTCTCCTTCTTCGGATTCTAGCAATTTTCAGAGTACTGTTCTATAAATTTAAACCGTTATTTCTGGGTTTCTATGAACCAGGTTGCTACACTTAAATGCTATATTGCTCTAGAATAAATCAGTTGTTTGCTAGAGAAGGAAACGAGAGTTGAAAGGGTCAAACATTATCAGACGAATATACTGAAATGTAAAATCTGTACTGTAATAGTAAAGATTCCGCGCGAGACTTGATAATTAAACCATATTTCTACGTTATAAAACAGCGATAATAGCAGAAAACGTTTACTTACAAGCTGCACTCAGCGTCAGAAGGATCAAGACAAAGGAATTCATTGTGAAGAACTTTCGACTTGCGACTTCCTCAGCAATGTTGAAGATGATACGTTACTCTGCTTTTTATACTCTACAATGAAAGCTAGCATAAACACGTCGAAGGAGTTTTAGTCACAACATGGTAGTTTTAAAGTTGGACTTTGGTAGCGCTTCCATTTATAGAGTAAACTTTTTCATTTCACATTTAAAGAGCTGGGGCTAGAAGAAGAACGCGTTTCTTGATTTAGACATAACACTGGCTAAATGTTGCTGAATTTAGCTCTTATATTTACGTTTTACCTGTCTTTTTTTTTTTCAGTTGTAGCATAAACAAGACAGTCACAAGTTTCGAAATCGTGATCGTTTGATTTCTGGGGATAATACTTTGAAAAAACCCTTAGCCATAACATAGGCTTAATTCAACTCTTAAATTTCGTTTTTACTGGGGGTTCCTTTATTTTTGCTGTAAACTAGACCCTCGCGAGTTTCGAAGCAGTTCCGATAATGATCCTATTGAGGCTAGAATAGAAAATTGTTTACTTTCCTCTGATACAACATTTTCGCCCTTTTCAGGCTTCACTGGTGGCCTAATGTGGTATGAGGCTATTTTCAGTTTCTAGCAGATCTGAACTTTGTCCAGTTTGAAGCCGAAATTACCAAGACAAGATTTCAGACTTGTTCATCAGTAAATGTTGTCAGTAGGAAGTAATTGCAAAAGTAGAACAAACAGGACGCGAAACCATATAGTGTTTCCCATGCGTTTTCGTAATAATTTCTGGGAAATTATAGTCGTTAACATATGCTCAAACTACAGTTTAAGTTTACTGCAGTCCTTCGGGGGTGTCTTTCAGAAAATCTTTCTTACTCGCTTCGGGAAAATTGAGATCTAACGGAAGGCGTCTGGCAACGAGGAAACCGAAAAGAAATAAAGCGTTCTATAGTCAGCTTGAGAGAAAAAAGTGCGGGAAACCGAATGCGAAACTAGCAACTAAGGCCCCATTCATGATAAGGTCTCGGGCACCCGAGACAACCCTCCTCCCGAGTTACCCTGGCCAAAGTAACTTTTAGCTTATTTCTTCGCAAAATTCAACCAACCGTTTACATTAGGATCGCGAACAAGACTCGGGGGGCGAGACAACTCGGGTGGGCTAGTTGTCTCGCCTCGGCAGGTAGCCGGTAACCCTTGCAAGCGGGTCAACTTTTCTTCATGTAAGCGCTTCGGCTCGCCTAACCGGGACAACTCTCGACGTGGCGAGTGTCACGTAATGCTCAGATTTAGGATTTAAAGCAGAAATTCGTATCAAAGAAGTGAAAATGAACTCGGCAATTCCCCCTGTGATCGAATGATCGAGGGAAACTCAAAGAAAGAGGGATATTTGCACATTTGATTATTCAATAAGGGTTAGGAATAATCATGCAGGGTCAACTTTGACTCGGCTTACAGGGACTACGTTTTTACATATAAATCCTCGATAAAGTCGCCTCGGGGGAAGGATGGTCTCGGGTGCCCGAGACCATATAACTGGGGCCTAAAATAGATCAACCAGTGATCCGAAACAAAACGTGGTTACAAGCAACACTCATTTGATGTTAACAATTTAGTCAAATCTTTGTAATTCAAGTCCACGAAAAACCCACAGGGTGTCCTATGTTTAATTAGGATTATAACTTTTCTAACAATTTTGTTTTGAGCTAGTTAATTGGCTCACATGTTAGACAGAAAATTCTCTTTCGAGGTATCTCCAGTTTGAACGTTGTAAATGTTTTAAAACTTCACGTTTAATCAGTTGTAAGCTTTGTCCATCGACACGCGGAGACAAATGAAAGAATGCAAGTTTATTCAGCTGTTTTGTCAGCCTTGTAATTTTCCTTAAGTTTGTTCATCTAATATTTGAAGGCAGAATTTTTATAGTCATCAATTTATAAATAACTTTTATTCACGAGCTTTTGCTACTTATCTATAAACCGTAATAAAAGTTTATAAACTCAACTTGAACATCACTTGTATCAACACACAGGAAACTTTTTTTTTTCACTAAAACATCACCCCACCAACTAATATTACAAAGGTCGACATGTCCCCATTTTATATTTTGATTTGCAGATTCCATTCTATTTTACGTTCAGCTAAAAATGTTGAGACAGAATACGTTTTGTTTTGGCTATACGAATTTGAGTACCGTTGAACCTCACTTTCGGCTGTACACAAGCTTTTCGTTTGGTCCGAGCTCGTGCTCATTTTCTCTTGCTGTAATCCATAATTTTCTCGTAAGTTAATCTGCTAATATAGAAACCATATGAGAACCTTCTTGCTCTCTTATGGAGCGTGATAATCACCCCATAATCTGAAACACTGTTTAATCTTTGTTTTCAAACCCGCCTAGCCCAAACATATAACTGTAAAGATTTTTCAACCCCACATAACGCTTATAAACGAACAACAGGAGAGCTTTATATCGCACTTGCCGTTTAATCCCATTCACAGACGAAAGATGTTTACTCTATTCAAAAAGTCGTTTATGCTGTCTCAACTGAAGCCCTCGGCGAGAACGTGATGGATTGTGACCGGACAAAGCATAATTGGAAAACCCTGCTGTATTTTTGATGGATATTGCACGTACATGCTTGTATGTAATCTAAAAATCCAACAAAATTGAAAGCAGATTCCTTTCATCACGGAGCAGTACAGAGTAGCAGTTGGCGCGGAACATTTTTTGGAAAGAACTGAACTTTGTCCTCATTCAGATCAGCTGACATTTTTGACAAAAAACTTAGCTTCATCGTCATTCCGGTCTCAAAGTTCAGTTAAAGGGGCTTTCGAAGGCGATGTTGTGATAACTACGAGAAAACGAATTATTCGACTTGAAGCACATGAAATATGAAAGATGAAAGTGTCTCAATATGGCTTCAATGGAATGGTTCTCGCCCAGTTTTCTCTCGGATTTAAACGGAATTCAAGGATAAAACTTTTTATTATATGGCTACAGCTCCGTGAGCGGGCAAGATGAATCAAATCCTGCGCTGTGATTGGCTACCCGAGCGGGCAAGACGGAGCTATCTTGCCCGCTCAGGACTACCCGCCGTGTCCCGCAAGAAAAATTTCCCCTAAAGCCATATAATAAATCCTTTATTGACTAAGCTTGTTCGGTCAAGATGGCTGGATATTGGCCTCTTTTTTGCGAGTACATGGACCTCAATTCCGTCTCGGTCCATAAACACGCAAAAAAAGAACTTGGCCAATATCCAGCCATCTTGACTTCACACTTGATCAATATCCCATACGTATATGTTATTTCTGCCTTCTAAACACATGAAAGGCCGAAGTCCGCCTCAGTTAGTTGTTTTTCAACGACAGGTTTTCGGTTCAGAGTTTTATTTATACATTATTATAAATAACTGAGATACTACGCGCACTCTCATTGGTCGGTAGGTGTGCTTAGATGAGAATATGTAAACACGGTTGCGACGTTTTAGATTCGCGCGGATTCGCAATAGAGCAGTTTTTCCGTGTTTACACTGATAGCCTCAACTAAACACATGGGGGGTTGTGAGAATTCTCTATACAACCCTCGACTGCGTCTCGGGTTTGCATAACTGTCTCGAATTCTCCGAACTCCCCTCGTGTTTAGATGAGGTTTTGAAAACACGGAAAAAGTGCTCTTGCTTAATTTTTAAGTTATTTCCGAGGGACTAATGGCCCCAAACAACGACAACGATCGAGTGGACATTTCATACCAACCGAGTGTTTTATAACTAAAATAAAGCATGTAGATAGACGTTGATCGAAGCAATTTGTTGTCTTTAAAATATTTTTAGCCTCATGCTTTCCCAGCGTTTAGCGTTTTTTTTTTTAACACCATATTAAACCGAAAACTAAAATAGCTGAACAAATACTTGGTGAAATTCCTCTAATTTTAAGCTGCATTTAAGTTCTAATCTTTCCACAGTTTACTTATCACTGGATCAAATGGAATTTTGCTCAGTTTACCGCCCAAATTAAGATAACGGTAACTTCTCGGTATTTGGTAATGTAATCCTGTTTCCTTAAAAAAAAAAGTCTAGAACCTTTCTTGAATTCATCCGGAAACAAAACCTATCTTGAGCCTTTCGCTATGAGCTTGAGGGCGTTAAGTGGAGGTCTTTGGCATGAAATTTGCAGCTTAAATTTGCTTACACAAAAAGCGACACCGACAATGCTGAGAATATATGCTGCTTTTTATAGTTCATTTGCTTCGTCCTGGTTTGTATTCTGCCAAGTAAAAGGTAACAGTCGGGTAATTGCTTGCCTATTAGGTTTTTCATATGTTTACGTGCCATGACTCACATGCCAAAATGAACATATCAGCCTGTAGTCTTCTCGATCGTCGTCAACTGTGATGAAGTGGTTAGGTTGAGCTTAAACTGCGTGAAATTATAACCCAATCTGTACTCGGCCCCATACCGCTACTTACGACTCACTTAAAGTAAAACAGAATTTTACATATTTTTGTTGTTATCTTACAAAGCTCAGATTTAGAAGTTCAAGTGAGTTTTACTGTCACCTGGCCGACTGCCTGCCTGATCGATAAGTCATGGAAAAACACCGCAATCTCCCACAGCATTTACACCGACTCAACCAACATCTTTAAGATCCTTTAATAGCGGCATACCGTGCATTAGAACTGGCCAGGTTTCGTAGAATTGTTCGTGCGCAAAGTATACTAAGACTATTAGAATTGTCCTATTTCGGTACCCCCATCCTGTGTTTCAAGTTCAATGTTAATTCTTTCAAGTTAGAACTAAATACGAGACAATTTAATCTTGCGAGCTATTTGAAGTTATTCGAAGAATCGGAGATAAGCCCTCTCAATCTTCTCCATGCTCGTTCTTTTTGGCTTTAGCATTACAACTTAAGTGTTTTCCTTTCTTACTAATAATTTCTTCGATTTGGAAGTAGTTTTACGTGTGTCTTTTCAAAAGATGGCCGTAATGTCTTATTTATCGTTGGGTTTCGCTGGTACTTTACACACAGTTCTCTTGTTGTATCGGCAAACATGTTCTACCAACATACCAGGGCATTTTAATATATATTTTGCAAACAAACTTACGTGATCTGTTGTTTTAATAAAGGGCTAACCTTCGTTTCGGAGAAAAAAAATTACAAATCTGTGATCGGGTCGAGAATTTACGTCTTTTTGTCTAAATCTCTTGGACAAACATGGCGAGAGAAACAGATGCCAGAACGTTGTTGTAGAGCGGATGAAAACTCTTAGA